GTTCTGGGAGCCGTCCCAGAGGGCGAACCGACGGGCCGAGCAAATCAGGGGGGCCACAGAATTCAGGAGATCGGGCAGGAGGCCAGCGCTGAGGGCGGAACCTCAGGGCTGAGGACCACCGGCCAAGCATGGAGGCCATGGACTGAACAGCTGGGCTGGAGGCCATGGACCGGACACGAGGAGCTGGAGTACGCCTGACCACCGACTGGATAGCTGGGCTGGAGGCCATGGACCGGACACGAGGAGCTGGAGTCAGCCTGACCACCGACTGGACAGCTGGGCTGGAGGCCATGGGCCGGACACGAGGAGCTGGAGTCGGCCTGACCACCGACTGGACAGCTGGGCTGGAGGCCATGGGCCGGACACGAGGAGCTGGAGTCGGCCTGACCACTGACGAGGGAACAGGAGTCGGCTGGGCCACCAACGGAGCTGGTTTTGGTCGGACCACCGACGAGGGAACAGGGGTCGGCTGGTGATCAGGCTGGCTGCTAGCAGAGCTAGCAGGCCGGGGATCACGCAGGTGGGCAGGCTGGCTGCTAGCAGCGCTAGCAGGCCGGGGATCAGGCAGGTGGGCAGGCTGGCTGCTAGCAGCGCCAGCCGAACAGAAAACAGGCAGGACAGGCGGAGGGCTAGCAGCGCTAGCCGGGCAGGACAGGAGGATGCTTCCCAACCTGCAACTAGCAGGCCGAGAACCAGTCCTTTGAGGGCTAGCAGGCTGGGGAATAGACGGCCGGAGGCTAGCGGTCCGGGTGTTAGCCATTTCCAGGTTAACGGACTGAGGAACTGATGAGGACTTGGCTGGGGGATCGGCTGAGGTGTGGAGGAAGTCACAAACCCACCCAGGAAGAGAGTCTGCTGCTCCTGGCTGAGCAGCCAGACTCTTCCAGGCAAGGGACACAATAGCTGCCTTATGGCTAACATGACTAGCCCCATACCACATATTCCTCAGCGTCAGAAGCTCCCTCAGCACGTCAGTCTGTTCCTCAGTTAGAGTGTCTGCTGGGCTAATTGGCCCGGTCATTCTGTCACGATCGTGGTGTGGAGGGC